TACAAGCACACTCACCGTCCGTATTTTGGAAGGATTGTCGACATATGAAGAGAAAGAGAAGGAAAGAGAGAGAGAGTGTGTGTGTGTAGCTGATTGACTCCCTGGGGCAAATCTCCTCAAGCGTATGAGCAATATACAATTGTACAAAGTAATAATAAAATGAAAAGAAAAAAAACAAACAAAGTTGAAACAAGACTAATGTACAAAAGGAGAGAAAAGAAAGTATACAAGAATAGAAAATTTGCTAAAATTAAACATTAAATGCAAAACCAATTTCAGTAAGCAAAACACGCACGTAAACACATGTATCTAAAGTGTTATGTCTAAGGAGTGCAAACAAAACGGTGAGATTACACGTTGTCAAAGTCAAAAACCATTTCGTTCTAGTAAATACATAAAGTATTTGTTCTTAAAGCTACTCAGGGAAATCCTAATGTCGGGTGGTATTTAGTTCCACAAATCTACAACAATGTATTTAAAAGATTTTTTGTGAAGTTCTGAAAGAGAGAGAGAGAGAGAGAGAGTGAGGGGGGAGAGAAGAAGAGAGAGACGAGTCCTCGTGCGGAAAAAATTGCACAAGGATCGTCGTACTCGCATCTCCAGATCTTGGATTGTTAGCAGTATTAGATCGTTCGAGGAAGTCCCGGCCTCGCGACGGAGCTCCGGGACGATTGTTCCTGGAAGATGCACACGCGCGTGATCCAAGTGCAATTTAACATGACTTCACTGCGAGTCTATTAATCGAAATGACCGAGTCGTTCCTCGGATTACCGATTCGCGGAAACCTCGCCTCTGCTTTTAATGAAAAAGTCAGCGGTTCAAGGTAAACGTCGTGCGGAAGGATCAGTCGTGGCAGGATCGTCGTTATCGGTCGCTGTATGCCTGCAGCGACCTGATCGAATCGAAATGGAGCGTCGCGTATAAATAAAATGCTACGAATCGCGACTCCGAGACGAAAGAGTTGCGCGAATCAGTCGAGTCATTAGACCTCTTACAGCCTTGCTGTATTCCGAGCAAGGTTACGGCGTTCGTATCGTAGATCACCGCAAACTCTACACACGTAGCGGGCGTCGCTTAGAAGAACCGTTTCCCCCCGGAACGTTACCGATCCGAGGCGGTCGATAACCCTCTCGCTGCGAGTCCAATTACAATGGAAAAGCTTTCTCGCGCCGTCATCGGAAAAGAAATCCCGTATTCGCTTCTTCCCACCAACGATCACCGATTTTATCGCACGCTACCGAGAAGAATTATTTACGACAAACGTCACGAGGGGCGCGTTAATTATAATCATATATGGTAATTGCATATTTATAAGAACAGTCGCGATTAACGTGGCAGCGATCGTGTTACTGGATATCCGCTGGATGTCGGAAGTCATTGGAATAACAATCGCCGCGACATCGCCTTTTCTTGCTTGCCACCGCGCGCGATGCATCGTTAGCGCTAATTGCGTCAAACTGTTGGAAAGGTGCATTTCGTTGAAATTGAAACATTCTCTTCTTAGCGAATGCGCTTCCCGCGTACGGAAAATTTCACCAGGTGCAAAACCGCCGTGTAATTTAGTCGATGATCGCGCCGATCGTTCCCGAAATCATTATCTACCTTGCCTGCGCACGCTTCAGACAAAGTACCGAATTTATTTCGTTACCTCTGACCACACTGCCGCTTCTTTCGCTCTTGGAAACTCGGCGCGATAATCGCCATCTTTGTTCAAACTGCAAATTCAATTTGTAATCGAGGGATCGGACCTTTCGTAAGTATTTGTCGACATTTCTTCTGAAACACGACAACACGACAATAGAGTCGTGGCTTTTCATCGAATTTGTACAAGGTATCCCTGTTTCCGATTCCTACATCGGACTATTCGTCGACATTGCCCGGGTCGAAAGACCTCTCCGTCGCGTATCGAGATTTCGACGCGAATATCCCGAAAGTCCCGAGCAAGTTTGACACAGGACGTAGAAAGACGAAAGGAATTTCGGAGAAGATAGCGGGGCGAAGGGGTGAGCGGGAGGAGCGAGCGGATGCGGGAAGCAAAGGGGTAAGAGGGAGGAGGGGAGAGGGGAAATACCTGTAACACGCCTGTATACGCGAGTCTGATAAAGCGTCTCGGGCTCGTAATAAGAGCCGGCGGAAAGTTAGCTGAACCGTGAAGCTCAGACTGAGAGAGGGCCGAGAGTTCCAGGAACATCGTGTTCCCTCGGAGAGAACTCCATACTCGAGAAAGCCGAGGGCTCGCGCTTCTTTTGCTCCTTTCTATCCGCGCGTCTTCCACCGTTCTTGCTCGTTTGGTCCGGCGCGCGCGATACAACTTTACCGGACCGTTTCATTCGCACCGACTAGAATCGGCATTCTCGAAAAGAGAGGGGGACACATTTTGGTTGGCATATCTCAGCCGCTCTCTCGGCTCCCGGCGAATGAAGGAATCGAAACTTTCCCGGTTGATCGGCCTCGATCGAGAAGAGAGAAAAGAAATTCACTCAACTTATCATGCGACGATTGAGAATGATAAAAAAAGGAATTGGGATGTCAGCGCCGGGGTCATTGACCCCATTCGGAGCTTCATTCGAACCATCAACGAATACGTTCTTTGTCGAGAACCATGTTTAATTCGTTCTGAGAATCGAAGAGGCCAGCAGGCAGGCAGGCAGACAAGCAGGCAAGCAGACGGCTTCTATCAGTCCTCTTCCACGGGGTAACTCTTTACCGTTCTTCTTCCTCTTCACTTGGCTTCTTTACTCTCCATTACTCAGGATAGGCCACGCTTCTTCCTCCTTCGCTTCTCCTTCCTTCTTACTCTCTTTGTTTTCATTCGTATTTGTGTACAATTGTTCGTTGTTGTTTTCATACCATTGCGATTTATTTATTTGTTTAACGATATCTCTCTACTTGATCGATTTGTTAAATATTGATGAAAGGGTTGTTCATTCTCGGAAGTGGCGAAATCAGCAGCCGATCATCTTCCGTCGAATCTCCTTGGCGATGCGCGACGTTTCTCGTTTTCTTTCTCTTCTTCGAGTCCTTCTTTTATGTTTTATTTTCCCTTGTTTTCTCTCTCTCTCTTTCTTCCCCTTCTTCACCAACTCATACCTTCTCCTTTCTCACTCTTCTCCGATTCCTTTTATAACCAAAGCGCGCATTCATGCTTCTACGAAATCATTGAACCGAGCCGTCTTTTTTGCCTGTCGACTTTCTTCGGCTTCATGTGTGTTGTAAATCCACGAGAATATTTTCCATAACAAATAACACACAGTGCTTTACACGCGCGGTATCACTTTCATTCCGTTTTTACATAAAAACTTGTGTAAATGTAAATGAATAATATTATCGTGTAATCCGCTAGTACGATCGCACATGCGAAAATAATGAAAATGGCCGCGTGGATAACGAGATTCATTCACGAGTACTTTTTATCGTGTCCCGTTACAAAATTTTAATTGTACATATGCAAATCAATATATTTTGCAACACACGGCAATGCGCTTTACGCGCATATACACGCAACAATTTCCAACAGTCCAAAAGTTTCGTTTAATGTATCAAAACGATCCATCTATTTTTTAGTATATTTTACTAATTTTTTAGTTTTGTTTTTGATTCATAATTCTTCGTAATATTGCCGCACACATTCTTCACATACGGCCAAATATGATATTCCAATTGAATTCGAAGCTCGACGCGAATCGCGAAACATTTGGTCATTGTCTCGGTCACTCGATAAATCGTATGATGTGTATATAATCGTATGACGTGTATATAATCGGTTTAATTTTATACAACTTTAAATTTCATTTATAACCTATAATAATTTTCGTTTTTTTTTTTCGACCAGATGTCGCAATTTCTCGTTTACTTCCATATATCTTGAGTCATTATTTTCTTTATTATGGTTTTGCACGAAAGAGATACGTTCCAACGTGCAATTTATTACACTTTGCCTTTTTTTCAACATGTTTGCTTCTTCAGGTAGCAGCTATTAGAAGTTTCGATCCAACTGGATCGATGAATCGAAACGGAGCGTGGAGTGTAGGCGCATCCGTGTCCGCGCGTATGGATACGTCACGTTTGTCGAAGAATCTCTGTATCGGTCGTGACAAGGGCTATTTATAACATTCTCTTGCTGACACAGGAGGTTACATAAGCCTACATTATTCATATCGTGCCTTTATGCTTCCTTCGTTACACGCGCACGCGTCTGTCGAGTCGACCGGCACGTGTAAATCGCAAGCGCTCACTTATCTTTGACATCGTTGACGTAGCGTCGAATAATCACCCCAACAATTGAGTAACTTCAATCGTTGAATTATTCGATCGTCACTAGCTGCCTCGAAGTCTGCATAAGTCGAAAAAAGCATGTTTCGCGAGCCCGCAAAATAACGACAAAATCGCGCTCTTTATAGGGTAAAAAGTGGACGGATTATTTTTCTAGAGAAATTTTCCGGAATTTATTCGTTTGCAATGTGTGACACAAGTATCTTTTTTTACTTAAATCGATAACAAAATGGAAGTCGCGTTAAGTATCAATCGGAAGTCCTTTAGGTTTTTAATCGAAATTATGCCTACGAAGAGAGTCACGCTGCGGAGTCGAATTGTCTCCGAGGAAACGAGAGGACGTCTCATTCGAATCGACTCGTGATATCGCTTATTGTACAATCTTTTCCGTTATGTTTTTCCTCGGCTCGGATTTGTCCCAATGCGATGGAATGGAGGAAAAGTAAGAGCCGCGTCGTTTAAAGGTTTTAGCGTTTCGACAGCGCTTTCAGGTACAATTAGAGCAGCCCCCTGGCTGCTGTTACATTCGTTTCGTGAAAACCCAGGGAAAGGAATACGCATCATTGACGAACAAAAATTGATTCATAACACGAGTCTGGTCTACAAGACACTGATATTTGGCGACCAATGGTCGGCGGTTTAAGGAAACGTTAGTCCGCGCGCGCGCAAGAGAGAGAGAGATACACACACACACACACACGCACGCACACGTACACGCGCACGCGCACACACAGCAGACAGACAGACAGACAGAGAGAGAGAGAGGGGGAGGCAAACTGGTCGATCGAAACATGCTTTTTCATCAAGGTTTTGCTATATTTTTCTCAATGGTGTAGCATTTTTTTCGGTTTCATCATACTTGCATCGTGAGTGCATGCACCACACGCGGCTTCCTGCGACGCCCACTGACGGTCACTTACAATTAACGTTCGAGTCGACTATATGACTCGTCACCGGCGCAAATTGCGTACTAGCAGCCGTAACTGCCGCGGCTGAATGGGGCTTAATGGTGGTGGCGGCTTAATTCATCAAAAAGGATCCTCTCTCTCGCTCTCTCTTTTTTCCTCTGTCCCCACTTTTCTCTCTTTCTCTCTTTCTCGCGACGATGTGGCTCATTGCACGTCGACGACGTCACGCCGCGAGTTTGATAGGCATTTGTGTCCCTTGGCGCGAGAGAGCTGTATACATTTCGCTTCTCTCCGCGCGCACGAATCAAATTACAAGTTGTACGGCTCGTTAAGCGCACGGCGTCATCGCAAAAATCAAATTTGCGGGGTAAGAGTCGACAAAACTTCCCCCATCGATAAGACTAAATTATCGCGCGGAATCAACGTAAGCGTATCGTCAACTTCTGTCAACGGTGAACGCAAGGCCGGCTCGTCAATTACCTGCGTAGACATCTTAGGCTGTTGGGGAATATAATGTTTATTCTGTTAATTATTTAATCGATACTGCACGATCTGTTGTTTTCTCACATCTCGAGAGAATTGGTGAGCTGACGGCTCGTCTATTCCATTTCAAACTGGAACACTGGCTCAAACAATAATTGCGAATTGAATCCATCTTAATCACACCCATTAAATGTTGCACATTTCCTCGAGCAATCGTCAACGAGGAATAAATTTAATCATGAAGGGAAGAAAATCGTCAGGCAGCTTCGATATACATACTGTGGATGCACCGCGGCTGTGCAATTTGTATATAATTACGCGTAGCTGTCAGCCAATGTACGCAGCGAAACCAATTTGCTTGTGGTTATACTCGGAATTCATGAATGAGGCGCCACGCAGTGTTCCCGAGTCAATGAAGTCTCCGTGTCGGGCGGTCGGTAATCGTCATTGTCCATTGAGGTTCCAGAATTTTCAGCGTCGCTTCCTACACGTCAGACACGCACGTCGAACGCGTTCGCGGTTGAACCTTCCCGCGGGTATACGGTGTCGCTGGTGTCGTTATTGGAATTCGCTGAAATGTAATCTATTGAAAAAGAGCCAAATATTCGAGATTGCAAAATTGCTTGGAACGGTGTTTCACTCGCGAACGTGGCAGCGCGTACAATTTTTATATATATTTCATCAGAGTTAGGAATATATTGTATTAGACGTTGTCGCGCACGACACGAGCGAGAATCATTGGTCGCGATTCACGCGGATAAATAAAATTCTATCCACGCGTAGCGCGGAAATTTCAAGGTATGCGCGGCCGAATATCGTCTCCTCCGTGTTTCATCTGCTTCCCACGTACGCGCGAGTTTCTCGCTAATTTAATGCGAGTCACTCCAATTACAGTCGTGCCCACTAGCCGCGAAACTCGCGAAACGAAATTGCCGTGATACTCGGAATTTATGAATGGACCGACGTACCTAGTTTCGCGCTGGTTAAGAAATTTCTGCGAAACATCCTATAAGCGTCGCCTGGCCGAGAGTTGCGCCGAGAGAGACACTCGAATCGTGACATCCTGGACTGTGATGCAACACTCGTCGCTTTACTCCGACTTTTTATTGTCATATAGCGTCATTTCAATTGCATCGTGCTAAGAGCCTACCTAAAAAAAATCCAGTTGAACTTTAGAAATTATAAGGAAATTATAAGGAGCTAGATATGTGTAACTCGAATTCGAATCGAATCGAAGTAAAATCTGATTCGATTCAAATTCGAATTCCTATAATTCGAATCCGAATAATTCGAAAATTTCGAGTCGAAAAGATTCGAATACGGATCGTGCACATTAGCATTAACGAAGAACTATTAAAAGACATTTAAAGATATTCAGCCTTACGGGAATTAGCATGACTTGAAAAGTTTGCTATACATTAAGATTTTCTTCAAAAGTATTAAAAGAAGATAATGGCTTCTAGATAAACTCTTACAACCAACTGTCGGATCGATATGCGTCGTTGCGCAGCTTTCAAAGCTGGAACTATATTCCATACACGTTTACCGACTATATATTATATATATCTTACCTTAAAATTGATATCACATGATCAATGTTATCTCTCTCTGTTGAATTCAATGATTATGTTAATTAAAAATTATTTTAATGATCCGATTCGATTTGGGTGAAATTTCATCGATTTGATTCGATTCGATTTGGGTGAAATTTCATCGGTTTGATTTGATTCGAATTTGAAATTAAAATCTGAGATTCGATTCAATTCATTAAAAATCATTTATTCACACATCTCTATAAAGAGCCATTTCTGAAACTTTGATTTTACAGTCATATAAAGTCTCAAGATCGTGTCTTATTCATAGACGTGTGAGTACCTAAAAGTATCGTCGCTTATTTTAGACGGGGCTTGTACATCGACCGAACGCGCAACAGCTGCCGAAGAGATTGCACGGTCGTCGCGTTCAGAGTCGATCGAGTGCGAATGTGTGTGTGTGTGTGTGTGTGTGTGTGTGTGTGTGTGTGTGTGTGTGTGTGTGTGTGTGTGTGTGTGTGTGTGTGTGTGTGTGTGTGTGTGTGTGTGTGTGTGTGTGTGTGTGTGTGTGTGTGTGTGTGTGTGTGTGTGTGTGTGTGTGTGTGTGTGTGTACGTATGTGAATGCGGTCGTCGCGTTGATTCGCGGATTTAACAATAATGACAAAGAGCACTGTGTTTCCGTGAGGATGCATATAATACCATGTGTTTGCGCGTCTCTTTTATTGTTGTTTGATTTTGTTGGCGGAAGCAAGGCACCAGATGTTGCACGGGATGGAATTGAAACCGTAATCGCGGTATCGACCGCAGAAAGCGCCTTTCTTTTTTCGTTCTTACACGACGTCGAAACTCCTCGCTGGAATTCCACCGAGTCATCTGTGTGACGCGATATCGGACAAAGAATGGAAACAGTGGACGAAATCCACAATATTAAATTAACATCCCAAGGCAGCGCTCAACGAGTACCAATACCCGATTTTCGTATTGCGATAGCTTTGGGATTTTGATAAATTCTTGGGATGCATTGCGAGCGTGTATTGTATACGATACTATATGATAGCTTCGGGACAAACCGTGCAGATTTTGATCAAAGGCTGTGACATAGTCGTATCGTTAGCGTACGCGTGCACAGCCCTCATCCCAATTATGGTTTCGAAAAGAATGCGATGTGATAACGTGACAGTAACGAAATATCGCCAGCATGTGATACACGCGATGATTTGAGCAGCATTATTATATAATGGCAAAGTGTCGCAAAGCGTTTCAGGTCATCGCTACATCGAAATGTCGACATTGCCGTTACGTTTACATTAACGTTTCGCGCGCGATTAGGATATGGAAATAATGATTCGAAAGCTTTGACAATAAACGCCGGTACAAATCACCCGTATGTCCCGGTCGAGCGCTCGCTCGCAAAGATGTTGGCCGTCCAGACGCGATATCGAATGCAGCGCTTGCAACAGGTCGACGTAAGGCTAGGTCAGTTAGGCTTACTTAGGTCACGTCACGTTGATTGCTATGCCGGCTTGTCCGTCGGTACCGATGGTAGTCCCTACCTGTTACATAGAGGCGAAATAAAGTCCGGAGAATGACAGCTACTCACGCTATATCCACCTGTTGAACTCGGCTTATGCCGTTTTTCCTCTTATCGCCACCTATCGCGATTACCATCGACAAAGAGAAACATTGATCAATTTTTCACAGGTCTATGCATACCTTAAGAAGACACTTGCTTCGTTCCAGACTTTGTCCCTTGGTTGTATTTCGCGACGAACGCAACTGGATGTCGCAAATTATTACGTGGAATAATCATTTTCCACGGAAATACGTCGAGGCATGAATCGCCGCATAGTCTTCATTCATGACTTTGAATCAAGATCACGTCAATGTTATGTTCGACACCGTCAGTTGAATCATTTCACGGATAAGATAATAATAATACTTTATTAGGCGCTGAGAGAAAGAGAGAGAGAAAGAGAGAGAGAGAGAAAATATGTATCTGACTAATACTGTAAAGCGGAATGTAGCAGGTGACGATAAAGAGAGAATTTTGTTGGCATCTATTTATAATATTTTACGATGCAGAGAATACAAGAACAACACGAAATTTTACAGTACAATAGCGAGGAAAAACCAGCAGATGGCGAGTTTTACAAATATTACCGTTGCGTGTGTGTAAAAGTCACTGTGTGATTGAAGACGTTACAAAGGTAACGTGAAGATTTGTTCTTTCAGAGGAAACGGGATAAGAGAGAGATGGCAAATTACTTGGACACTTTTTTCCTCTCCTTCCCTCTTTTCTCTCGTCGATTGAATTATTTGTCTTATTACTTTCCCCCGCGATAATAGTTGAAGTTTGTTATCGGCGTACATCCGGCCATGACTCTCTAAATAAATGCCACGACGCTCGTTACCCATCGGTGTACACGTGCTATTAAGCGCACGATGGCTTTCTAATGGCTCGTTTAATCTCATGTTCATTTGAAATTCAACGATCGCTCGAATCTCCACGGGTCGTAACCGGCGATGCCCTTTATCATTGCGCAATCAAAGTTGCCAATCATTGTCAAAGTTGCAACGACAGAGAGAGAGAGGATCATTAACCGCGATCCATCATCGCGGTCCATTTAGCCCCGCGATTTTCAGAGTTTCGATCGGCGGCGGTCTTGCCTCATCCATGTTTGATGTCGCTGCGACACCACGATAGCCGGAAGCGACGTCGGTAATAACTACGACGCTTCCCGCAATAACTCGAGTCGATTCGAGAGCAGGCTGCGGTGCCACGGTGAATCGCAGCAGTGGTGATCTCGACGAGACACGATAAAGGGCTTACGGGTCACGTAGGATACACACACCGTGTCCGTTTTTCTCCTCCAACGAGCCGGTTGCGTCGGGCCGTTGATTCATCGATCGCCTCGCGCTGATATTCCTCGTGACATTTAAACCAGTCGGCCCCACGGATCCGCGCGATCTCTCGGATCTATCTAATCCGTGAAACCGAGCGTGCGAGCAGCGTAACCATTATCTAATAACGACCCACGCACTGCACTGTGCAGTGCATGCCCCCGTGATGATTATTCCATTAATTTACAGTTCGATGTTTCTTGCTGTTCTCTAAGACCGCACGGAGGGAACAATTTCTCTCCGCGAGAATCGATTTCTTCGTCGAAAGCTAACTCGCGCACTTTCAGTCGACGGTCATCCAATACCATTTTGTGGATTTTCGTCACCATTTCTGGCGTGGTCACCTCATTTGGTCGACCACTGCAATGTTCGTCTTGGCAGCTCTTACGGCCTCTTTTAAACTCTGCCACTCAATATTTTATTGTTGTAAACGAGGGAGCAGACTCCCCCAGAGTAGAATCTAGCTCAGTTTTGATATTGGTTGGACTGAGACTTTTCAAATGAAAATATTGTATCACATAACGATGACCAATTTTCTCCATGTTTACAAATGTACTGAGAGCGTTCACTATTGATGGCTGCCAAACTAATACTAAACAACGTAGCGTCTTGAAACTTCAAACTTCAGCTTTGTAAGGTTGATGCTTTCGGCCATAATGATTTTTTTCAAACAACAACCGCCATCTATACGTCAGGTCGGGTACTTCTGGGACTACCCTCGTATATATCGCGATGTCACGCTCGTTGCGACCGCTCTGTGTGACAATTAGCCCGATCGTTAGTAGTCTAGTGACACAAACGACGTGTCACGGTGACGAGTCACGGACAGCGTGATATCGCGCGTCTCGGCGGATTGACCATTCACCATCGTGCACACGCTACCGATCTGAGAATGCAAAGAGATCGCAGGGAGACCGTGCGCGTCGTTATACGCACGCGTACGCGTGACGCTACTCTAATTCGAGATCGTTTCATGGCCGCGTTAACGTTTCGTCTATTTATTTCTCTCAAGGCTGTCGCGAGGTGAATTATATCGTACGCTTTACGGTGTTTTATTACTCCCATGATTTGCCCCATGATTGCGCGCTCACACCACGCGCACTGATTCGCTTTAATTCCTCGCGATTGAAAATCGTGTAATGTCACTTCGTTCTCGACCCTGCGAGAGAAAGGGGAGGAGAGAAAAATAGACGAAGGAAATAGACGAGAATGCGAGAGAAAAACGCAATCTGAGGGATTTTTCTAAGAGAATTTACGGGAAACTTCATTCACACAGTAGCATAGATTGCGTACAGACTTACTTCCGAAGTCTGCTTCGAGGAATTTAAAGCGCGCTGCGATGAATAATTGAAAAGCATCGTGTGCTCGTGGAGAGACAGAGAGGCAGGCGAGCGAGACGAGCGATGCTAAGAGAAACGAGGCGGAGAGAGAGAATCGGGTGACGGCGGCCATCGTAGGGGAGCGAAGAGGGAGACCCGGGAGGCCCGACAGACTGACGCCAGAAACCTCACCGAGCGAGACGTTGGTGTACCCGCGTGTCGCACGGTGTTTCACACGTACGTGTGTGTGTGTGTGTGTGTGTGTGTGTGTGTGCGAGCGCGTGTGTGAGCTGCTAGTCGCGCGCGTATAAATACGCCCATCTACGCTAGCTTCTCTTCTTCTTGTTCCTCTTCTTCTTCTCCGTTATGCGTTCCTCCTCTGCTCTCCTCCGCTCAC